ACTCTCATTGTAGCATCCATCACCCGAAACAAGCACTGATAGAGATTAAGCAATGAGAGGATGGCCTCTCTCCAAGATGTCTCTGAATTAATAGACTCTCTGTAGCTCAATCTTTTATCTTCATTTCTGCCTCTTTGCCTCCCTCTCCTGCCACTAGTCCTTGAAGCCATGAAGTTTGCATCTTCTCTCAGCTTTCTGGGATTATACCTTCCAAAAATAACTAATCCTACAGGCTCCCATCTGAGTCCCAGGCTTGAAGTCATTACTATTCTGTGTCAGCCCCTACATTAACCAACCTCCTCAGTGTGTGGCCAAATTGAACTAAGACTCGAGGATGTCACCCAGAACCGCACATCTCACTCTGCATAAACTATCACAGTGAAACAACTAGAGGTCACCGCTGCGCTTGAGATCTCCTACCAGAAAACTACGTTCTTTTTGGAACTCAACTTTCTAAAGAGGAAGCATGAAGGAGAGATTTGTTGAAAGCGAATGGGAAAACCTAGAACCATTTCAGACTTCCTAGTATGAAGGCTCCTCTACCTTCACAGAAATAGAAGTGGCACAGGATGAAGTCTGGTGCAGAATGGCCTTAGCAGACACTGGGCAGATATCTGAGTTCGGTCAGCAGTGAGGAGCACTCTAGAGCTGGGATTAAGGATCTGGTCCAGGGGTTCTGTTCTCAGAAGACCTCTCTTTCAACAACTTGCAGCAAGAAGAAAAGCATCATCCCTGTCTGGAAAGTGAAAAGCCCAGATCCCAAGCTACCTCCTGGCCCAAATTATCAATACAATCTGTTCTCTGGAAATATCTCAGTCCCACTTAAGGTTTTGTAAGTTCCAGGGAAGGACCTTTGAAGCTAAGAAGGACCAGTACTACCAGACTTCAAATGTCAGCATCCAAGACTCACCAAACACTCCTCTTATTCAGATCTACCCTAATTGTGAAGCATAAACTAAAGAAAGAAACATAAATTATCTATGCAAATTTAGTAGTATTAGCCACCCACTTCTTTAATTAATCTAACCTAATTTCAAATCAACACATAAAATGTATTATATAATTTTGATGAGAATTTACCTCCACAGCATAGAATCTGATGGTTATTAAGGCCAATTGCCTAAAAAGTACTTATGTGCATACAAAATGACACAAAACCTAAAAGGACAATCATAAGGATATAGAAAATTTCTATCATTCATATTATGATATGAAGACTGTACAAAAACAAAGTATAGACCAATTGGATTTTCTAAATGATCTGGCTCTTCTAAAAAAAAAACACACAAGGTTGCACTCTGTGAATCCACAGGGGAGTGTCAGGGAACTCCAATTAACTGGAAAGTGGCTGTATGCTGGGGACATCCCTAGGGCCTGTGACAGGGAAGGACATGGACACAGTGGACCACAGCCTCGTGGATGTTGAGAGCCACAGGTGCCTCCATCTGTGGTCGCTGATCCACACAGACACTCACGATCATCATGGGGAGGGACAGAGGGAGAGGCCACCTGGTTCTCAAGTGCTTCTGAACACACCTAAGAGTCAAAGGAGGAATTCGGAGCCAAAGCTCCCTCAACTCCACAGTTTCAGCTGGATCTTAGCAATTGTGCTGCCCACAGTTACTGTAACTATTACATTCTCCAAACTGGAGAGTCGGAGAAGGGCAAATTCCCTGCAGGTGGGATGCAGGCAGGGAAGGCAGGCTACATAGGGCAGTGATGACCCAGATTTTTTCTGGCCCAATGCAGTCCCTTCGGACTGGCTGAATCACCAAGGCTGGGCCTCTGACATCATCCACCTTCCACCACACCAGTAAAGGAGCATCTGGGCTCTCAGCCTAAAGAACCAGGATGAGCCGCTCTGGGCAGGATCAAATGCTTACTCATTCTATGGTTCACAGGCTTCTGAAAGCCTGAGTGTGGCCTATCCAGGAATTGAGCTATTTTGGCACCCACAGAAATGTGTTCTTCCTGGGTGCAGGAGGAGGAAATTCCTGTTCATTACTGACTTTGTCACCAGGAAGGACAGAGACTGAGTCAGAAACTCCAACCTGGGAATGAAAACTGAGCTTCATATCAAGAGTTGGTGCCCTCGGCTGCATTCATCAGATATTTAATTTTCCTTTCTGAATGAAAAGAGGAAGGATGACATGTTGTGTGATTGAATAAACCCTCCTAAATTTCCTATATTTATCTCCATAAAGGAGACTCAGCCCCCATTTGGTGAAAAAAAAAAATCAAGATGATAAATAAAATGAGGGCACAGAATATGACTAACTAGTTTTAATCTTTTTCATAACAAGGCATGCATATTGCTTTAAAAATAATATAGAGGTCGCTTCTCGGCCTTTTGGCTAAGATCAAGTGTAAAAATAATATAGAATCAGGCCAGGTACAGTGGGTCATGCCTGAATTCCAGCACTTTGGGAGCCCAAGGTAGGTGAGTCACTTGAGGTCAGGAGTTCAAGACCAGGCTGGCCAACATGGTGAAACTCGTGTCTACAAAACATACAAAAATTAGCCAGGTGTGGTGGCACATGCCTGTGATCCCAGCTACTTGAGAGGCTGAGGTAGGAAAATTGCTTTAACCTGGGAGAAGGAGGTTTCAGTGAGCCAAGATCATACCACTGCATTCCAGCCTGGGCGACAGAGCAAGACTCTCTCTCAAAAAAA